AGACAGAGGTAGACCAAGGAAGACTTGGGCTTATTGTATAAAAATGATCTTAATTTACTATAAATAAATGAAAATATGACATTAAATAGGACGCAATGGAGAAAAAGGATTCATGTAGCCGACCCCACATAGTGCGATTAAGGCATTGTTGTTGTTGTTGTCGTATATTATAGTTGTTGAATATCTTTAGGTAAATTTTATATTGCGCTAATGCATATCAAAAATTTTATATACAGACGTCTCGTTGCCCCAAAAATATGTAAAATGATAAAGTTCTTTGTATAAATTGCTAAATATTTAAATTTGAATGAAATTTTGTTTAAATAAATTTTTAAAAATAGTACACTTTTATGAAATGAAATATTGCTAAATGTTAAAGCAAAATTTTGTCAAGAAAAAGATTTAATTAGGAATTTTTTCAATGGCAGTCAGTTCTCACTTTAGTATTCCAAGCTTCTAGGATAAGTCATGATAAGAGCCAAATTTTACAAATATCATAAATGTTATCTAAATCTCTTAACAATCATTAATCATTTACTTAACAGCTCATTCAATAAAATCATTTTTCTTCTTACCTTACACTTGGTCTTTGATTCCACTCGTCTCGACCCAGCCCCGAAACCTGATATATCAAACTGGATGAATAAACGGACAAACGACAGCAACGACAACAAAGTCTTAATCCCACTACGTGGGGTCGGCTACATGAATCCTTTTTCTCAATTGTGTCCTATTTAGTGTCATTTTTTCATTTAGTTCTAATAAATTAAGATCATATTTTATACAATGAGCCCAAGTCTTCCTAGATCTACCTCTGTCTTTCTTAACATAAGTCGAATCTAAAACATCTACTCTCTTAATCGGATCATGGACGGGTGACGTTTCATGTGACCAAACTATCTAAGATTACTCTCTCTACTTTTATCTGACACTGGAGCTACACCAACCCTATCACGAATATATGCATTTCATATTTTCTCTCTAAGTGTAAAGCCACTCATCAACCTAATCATTCTCATCTCGGCAACACTTAACTTAGTATTATACTTCTCTTTTAAAGGCCAACATTAAGTGTCATAGATCATTGCAGGTCTCACCACCATCTTATAAAATTTTCCTTTGATTCTAAGCAGTACTTCTCTATCACACAAAAGGCCTGAAGCATTCCTCCACTTCAACCAACCAACGTGAATTCTACTATTAACATCCCCTTCAATATCAGCATCGCTTTGAACAACATACCGGAGATATCTAAATCATTCACAACTTTTAATAATTGGATCATCCAAAATTACACTTCTATCACTATAATTACTACTACTAAAATTACATTCCATGTATTTAGTTTTAGTTCTACTCAAATGAAGCCCTTTAGACTCTAATGTAGAAATCCATAATTCAAGTTTTTCCTAAGCTTTTTCTCTCATCTTATCAACGAGAAGGATATCATCAGCAAAAAGCATACAAGATACATCCTCCTGTAAATGTCCAGTAAGACCATCCATAACTAAAGCAAAAAAAATAAAGTCGATCCCTGAAGTAATCCAACAGAAATAGGAAAATATTTCGCCAATCCTCCTTCAGTTCGAACAGAAGTAACAGCTGTAGCATACATATCTTTAATGACTTGAATATAAGCCATATCAACACCTTCCTTCTCAAGAACTCTCCAAAAGATATCTCTTGGAGCCTTATCGTAAGCTTTTTCTAAATCAATAAAAATCAAACGTAGATCCTCCTTACTCTCTTTGTACTTCTTCATCAAACCTCTCAATGAATATATAGCTTCCATAGTAGACTTGCCCAGCCAAAATCCAAACTGATTATGAGAAATTTTTGTATATTGTCTTAACATATGTTCAATTACTCCATCCCGTAATTTTAATATATGACACATTAACTAAATTCTTCTATAATTTGCACACCCTTGTGCATCTACATTATTCATAAAACTGGAAACCAAAATACTCTTCCTTCACTCCTCAGGCATCTTTTTCATTTTTAAAATAATATTAAAGAGTTTAGTAAGCCGAGAAACTCTCAAATCTCCTAAATATTTCCCCACTTCAATTGAGATATTATCGAGTTCTACAGATTTTCCAACCTTTGTTTTCTTTAAATCCTCCTCAACTTCTTTCTAACTAATGTGACTCAAAAAATTGAATGTTTTACTATTATTAACGATATTAATATCACTAAGGTCGATCATATTTTCAGAAATTTCATTAAAAAGTTTATCAAAATAACTCACCTATTTTGAATATTTTTTTAAGAAAAGCACTTTTTTTATTTTTATTTTTAATAAACTTGAGTTAAATCTTTACTATTCTTTTCTCTTGATTTGACTAGTTTATATATATATTTTCACCCTCCATATTATCTAATCTAATAAAAAAAATAATAAAAGAGAATTTTTAACATCACTGATTGTTCTTTTAGACTCTCTGTGGGTCATTTGATATTTTTTCAGTTCTCTAAGCTTTTACATTTAAACCAATTTTTATAACATAACTTCGTATAATTTATCTTTTCTTATCGTATATTTTATCTTTTCTTACACATTATTATTCCACCACTAACTATTTTTATTTATAGAAACATTTTATATTTATTCTCAAAGTAAAACTTTTGCTACTTATTTAATAGTGTTTGTTATTTTATCCCACATAACAGTTGCTTCTTCATGAACATCCCAAATTTCAAAATCTTGAAATTTACTCGAAAAAATAATTTTATTTGTCTTTTAGGTTCCCCCGTCTAATTTTACGATGATGAAACTTAGTATTCTTTATTTTACAACTCTTCAACCTAAAATCAATAGAACTAATAATCGATGTTGGTTACATAAATCCTCACTTGGAATGACCTTACAATCTTACAATCTCAACAATCTCTTCTTCTCATAAGAAAATAATCAATATGTGTTTTATTAGCTATATTCTTATAAGTAATAATATGTTCATCTCTTTTTTTTAAGAAAGTATTGAGTAACGACAAAATAAATAATAAAATCATATGCTAACATATGCTAAAGCAAAATCTAATATAGATTTACCTTTCTTCATTAATCACTCTAAAACCGTAGCCACCATGAATATTTCTAAAATCTTCCACCACTCCACCCATTTAAATCTCCAATAATTTTTTTTTTCTTCAAGAGGTGCCATTTGTATTAACTCATCTAAGTCAGTCTAGAATTTATCTTTAGAACCTATAACTAAACCTACTTGAGGAGCATAAGCACTTATAATATTAGAAATCTTAGTATCCACAATAATCTTAAGGGCTATAATTGTATCTCCAACTCTATTAATTTTTACAGCATTATCATTCAAACTCTTATCTATAATTACAGCTACACTATTTCTATTGCGACTCTTACCTGAATACCAAAGTTCAAAATCTTAAGTTATCAATCTCTTATATCTATAATTACACCTACACTATTTCTATTGCGACTCTTACCTGAATACGAAAGTTCAAAATCTTAAATTATCAATCTCTTGAGCCTTTTCTCCAACCCATTTAGTTTCTTGAATACATAAGGTATTAATCTTTTTATGAATCACAATATCAACTAATTTTATTAATTTACCATTGATAGTACATATATTCCAATATTCTATCCTAATATTAGTTTCATTAGTTTCATATATCAGCTTCTTTACCCGCATCCGTCAGTAATGTGGGAACCCTTTCTTATTTAACACTGCATTCGGGTGCCAGTGTAGCAACCATTGCACACTAATCATTGTATTCAGATCATACAAAGTGTCGCATACAGAGGGCACCTTAGCACTTACACAATAATCAAAAGAATCCATGTCATGATTTTTTTGACAAGTTTTACGATGCCTGTTGACTTCCTAACGCAACAATTCACCTTTCACATTCAGGCTTGGGACAATAGTTTGCATCATATTTGCTCCATATTCTCTTTGTCGACTATATAATGCAAAAATTTGCTCTACTGTAGCAATTTTTTTTTTGGCACAAAACACTTTGGTGTTGGTTATAGAAATGAAGTCCCTTTTAGGATTTAGGGTTTAGGGAGTTTAGGGTTAGGTTTTAGGGTTTAGAGTCTACTGAGGGATTGAGATAGATGTCGATCCTCTGGTGGATTCAAGAACCGTGTCAGACGGAAGCTCGGTGATGGAGGAATCAGCCATGGCTCCGATAGAGCCAAAGGAGAAGTTTGGTTGTCGAGACATGGCTACAAACAAATAAGTAATATGGGAACAGATTTTCAATCGACACTAGGAAGATTCCATCAAGCAGAATGAAGATCCAACTGTAAAGAAGAATAATGGCGGTTCATGGGAGGAGGATAGACGACTAGAGGTAAGAACTAAGCTCGCGAAGGCTTGCAGGGAAGAAAATCAGCTGCAAGAAAGGCGTCCGATTGTTGGCTTAGGGAAGGTCCGACGGGGAGTCCAGCAGTAGAAAGGTAGTTCGGCGGCTAGAGAAGGGAAGGACAGGTGGCTAAAGGCCAGCAAGCGAATATTCCGGCAGTTGGAGAAGAATCCGAGCGGCTAGAGTCTGATTTTGTGACTCTGATACCATGTAGGTTTTGGGAATTGAGTTGGATGATTTCATTGATATGAAAAGATGGTATAAATACATGTTATATGGATTATAAAAAGAGAAAGACATAACACTGACATCACTAGGAATTGATTCCTTACCAAATAATCACCCGGAGAAGAAAAGACACTAGGAAATACATAAAATAGGAAAAAACTGAAAAAGTAAATAAATCAATACTAATAACTTCTAATAAAGAGAAATAAATCAATACTAATAACTTCTAACAATTCCCATATTACTAGTTGAGTAAGTAATATTATATAGAATCTACGTTATTTAACATTGCTATGAATATTTGTATTTTGGCAAAATTTAATTGCTGAAATTTATCGTGTATCAAACCAACAATTTCATATATAATGATGAGCACCGTCAATAAATCGGAAAGGGCACTGACAAAAAGTATGAGTTACCTGCTTTTACAAAATCAGTTATAGCATACTGTGGTTCCCCCTTTGTACCTTCCTCTGTCACAGGGGTATACATGAAAACCAAGCTTGAATCAATATCAGCAACAGTCAAGAGATAATCTTCATTTTCTGCTCCAGCAATTACAACTGGACTGCTGTTCCACCTTCGTCGCAACCAGCTGGACAGCAAGACATGATAACAATTCCTTTATCTAACAACACTATTGAAAGTTTTGAAGCATCTCTGCAGCAAAATGAACACAATTTTGGGCGAAAAGATCACCTTGCTACACACTTCCCTGGTGTTCCTCCACACCAAGCAATCTCAGCAGAGCCCCTAACCACATTTCCCTCAATAAGTTCACCTTGCACGTTCAAATTTAAAACTTTTGGGTACCCAGTTCCTAATCATAAATTTGCAGTCAGCAAAAGTAATTAAAAACGTTAATATTTGCAAGATAAACAAAAAATCTTAGAGTTAAAAAATACTAGACATTACTATCATTTCTAAAATCCAAAAAAATCTGGCATGTGGATTTTATAAAAAATGAGAATTACGATATGAAACTCGCTAAAGCTGACATTTAGTAAGATTTACGGAAAGCTAAAATTAAGCTATATGAAACCTCTTCTATTAAATAAACAAGAAGTCAACTATTTGACAAAGAAGATAAAAGCAAACTAAAAATAAAATCTTAATTGAAACATTAAGATTTTGGAAATTTTTAGAAAATTAGAGATAAAAATAAAAGAACATGAAAGTCATGAAAGATTAGTGTTTTCTGCGTTTAAGAAACCAGATTGTAAAAGATTTGAAATTTTGGAATTTAGGAGAAACTTTTTGAGGGAAAAAACTCTCTAACTTTTCATTAAGTAAATAACTAATATACATACATTTCAGACTAACACTCTTATAATTAGAAGGAAATTTAACTCATCATGATAAAAAAAAGAAATAAAACATAATAATGGATGATTAAGGAAGGACAATTTCTCCCCTTAAATGTAAAATAGTAGACGCACGCCTTTCTAATATGGGTTCATGTCAACACTCTCTCTCAATTTGGGTTGTATATGTCATATATCCAAAACTTGTTGTTGAGATCACAAAAATGATGCTAAGGAAGCCTTCGTAAAAATATTAACAATCTGATATTAAGTTGGGACATAATTTAGCTGAACAATCCCTCCATTGACCTCACAAATGAAGTGTCAATCAATCTCTATATTTTTGGTTCGATCACGATGTATCAGATTCTTTGAAATACTAATGGTTGTTTGACTAACACTGAATATCTTAATATGCTTTGGTTCTTAATGTAAAGTTCCACCAAGAATTTTATTAGCTACAACCCTTCACAAATCCTAGGGCCTGGGCACGATACTCTAGACTATGCAAAACTTCTTGCTACCACAGTTTACTTTTTACTTCTCCAAATAACCAGGTTACCCAATACAAATAAACAATAACCTGTGGTAGATCTACTATCAGTTAGTTTTCCTACCAAACTAGCATCAATGTAGATCTCAATGTCATGCTTCTAAATTTATTTTTTAATATCAATCTACATTTCGAAGTTATCTTTAGGTACCTCACGATTCGAAAGAATACTTTTAAATGATCTTCAATTGGACCGTTCCCATGCTAGCTCAGTACTCCCGCAGAAAAAAGTAATGTTAGGTTTTGTATTAAGTTTCCCCACAATTCTTTGATACTTCCCTTGTTCAACTTCAATGTTATCCTCTCCATTTAAAGTTCATCGATAGGGATCGATAAAAGTATATGTTGGTTTGCATCCCAACATTCATGTATCATTTAATAAGTTAATAATATATATTCTTTGAGATAAAATAATGCCTTCTTTGGATCTAGTTGCTTCCATTCCAAGAAGTATCTTAAAGCACCAAACTCTTTGATCACAAATTCATAAGTCATTATTCTTTTGATTGTTTCTAATTCCCTTACGTCATTGTCTGCAAGAATAATGATAACTTCATATAAAACAAAGATGACTATCATACCTTTGTTTTTTTTTTGTTTCACAAATAAAATATGACAGTCTGACACTGATAGTTCTCATTAAATAGAATAGTATTGATTTCAAACCATGCACTAGGAGATTGTTTCAACTCATACGATGACTTCTATAGCTTACATACAGTTAGTTATTTATGTTCTTTAATCCTGGGGGTATCTCTATATACACTTAGTCCTCAAAATACCCATTAAGAAAGGCATTTTTAATCAATAACATTAGGAAAAGGCTAGTCCTGGTTAACAACTAATGAAAATAATTGTCTTATTGTGTTGTGTTTGGCCACAGGTGCAGATATCTCCTAATAGTCAATCCTGGAGGGCTGAGTACACCCTTCTGCCATAAGTCTAGCCTTGAACTTTTTGAGGCTCCCGTCTACTTTGTATTTAACAAAAAATACTCATTTCTTCAGGTGGCAGAGTTGTTATGATTTAAATATCATTCTATTCAAGAGAAAGAATCTCTTCTTCCTCGGTCATCTTCCAAGCAAGAATAGACAAGGATTCTTGGATTAAATTTGGGACTTGCACATTATTCAAGTTCTGAACAGAAGATTTGTAAAAGGATGATAATTTTCCACAAGTCACAAATTCTTCTATCGGGTGTTTTGTGCAGTTTTGAACTCCTTACTCTTGGTATTCAAGGTGTTGAACCAACCTTTGTATGAGTACTTAAAGTGTGCGAAGTTGGTTCCAATGATTTGCATTCCTGATTTTGCATTTTATCCCATACATTCTCACTAGGTTTTTTTCTCTCTGGGGTGCACATGGAGTTTTTTGTTATTGATGGGAGCTGTGGGAGAATTTAGTAGAATAGTATGTTTATTTTCAAGTTGATTTGTGGGAATGAGAACAAGAGTCGGTTTATCACGGATATCAGAGAGATCAACTTCAGATTCTGTAATGGTGTCACAAATCTAGTATTCTCTCTAACTCTCCTCTTGAATAGCAGATTTAGGGTAATATGGTTGGTTTTCAATGAAGGTGATATCAGTAATATGGTTTGTTTTCAAGGAATGTGATATCCATGAAGTTAAAATTTGTGAGTTTTTGGAGAACGACATTTATATCGATTTTTGTTTGAAGGGTAGCCCACAAAGATGCATTCGATTAGTAGGGGATCAAGTTTAATATGAGATGATTGATAAAGATAAACAAAAACAATGCAAGAAAAAAAATTTTGTGCTAGGTTAGAGTTGAAGGACTTTATAGGAGCGACAGATATTGTGAGAGCGTTGAAAGGTATGTTAAAATTTACCGCTCTTCTGGGAACCCTATTTATAAGAAATGGATGTGAGACTTGCATTTGGGGGCATTGTTAATGAATAGAACTGAATGAGCCACTCTAAGGAGATGTTTGTTCTTCCTCTCAGCAACACCATTTTATTGAGCCATGTCAACACAAGAGCTTATATGAATGATGTCATTTTTAGATAGTTAAGGACTCGGAGTTGACATAGTAGTCTTCTAAATTATTGATTTTGAATATTTAAACTTTGCTTTGAAACTGGGTGAAAATCTTGTTGTGGGATACTTCAATTATACTGGCAGTTTCAGGCTTTTCCTTCATGAGAAAAGTCCAAGTAGCTTTGGTGTGATCATCAATCAATGTTACAAACTATCATTCGTATTTTTTTAAAATTTTTTAGGACTTCCAGATATCATTATTTGAACCATGGAGAAGGGACGTGTTGATATGTATCATTATTTGAACCATGGAGAAGGGACGTGTTGATATGTATTTCAAACTTGAATACACTCATTAAGTATGTTTAAGAAGTTGACAAGTTTCACATTGATAAGAATTAGATTTCTTCTCTTGATAAACAAATGAGAATATAGTTTTTCAATATAATAAAAGTTAGGATGCCCAAGACAAAATGTCAAAACATAATTTGACTTGCACACGAAACAAACTCAATTACAAGGCTTGACTCTGAAGATTATGAATGATGTGAATGCTCTTTTGAAGTGGGAGGCCTGAAGAGAACATAAAATCTATGATACATGTCAGCACTATCAATCAATTTCTCTGAATATAAAGGCTAAAATTTATTGAAAGTATGGCAGAATTTAGTAACACAGTTTGTGCCACGATTAAGTTTATTAATATATGATAAAATACATTTAAGTTTAGAAAAATAAAATACGGATTAAAGAATAATGTCCTTTATCAGTTTCACACTTCCTCTTGCATCAACAAATGAGGAGTCATTTGTGATTCTAACTGCAGCATGGTCCTTGCAATAATGGAAGGATTTAAAAGCAATGATATTACATTTCTAGTGATCAGATGCTCCAGATTCTATTATCCAAGATTGATTATTCCTATTGTGAGCAACAAAAGCAAATAGAAGACTATCGCGAGAAGGCCGGTCGAAGGCTCGGAATAATGTCCCAGAAGCCTTTCGAGAGCTTCAAGTTCCTTAATAAATGGACTATGTACATGAGGCATGTCTTCCTTTGATGTTGTATTTGTCGGAATTTCCTCATCACCTTTAATTTTGTTGGGCTTCTAATCTGCAATCTTTCCATAAATTTTACAACAATAATTCAGATGACCGAGCTTCTTACAATGTTCACACCATGATCTATTCCTCTTTGATTTGTTATTCTAAGATGCTTTGTGAGTGTATAAAGTCAAATTATCAACATTTGATGTTGTGGAATTACCAGCCATCATGAGTTTCTTCTTGCTCCATTTCCTTTGTACTTCAGCAAATGCTTCACAAATTAAGGGAAGAGGTTTGGTTCTCATAATTCTTCCTCTAACGACATCCAGTTCCTTGTTGAGTCCTAGAAAAAATTTGATGGTTCCCTTCTATTCAACAAAAGTTTTATTAACATCAGAGTCTTATGAGCACCTCCATGTGTATGTTTCATCCAATATATGGAGAGAGTTTTGAAGTATTGAGTAACATTCAACCCACTATATCGCAGGTCATGTACATAGTTTCAAAGTCAAACAATTCAAAGGTGTTCTTAACACTTGAATATGTTTCCCTTGTAGCATCTCGAATTTCTTATAGTTTTAAACAGGAGGAATTTTTCTCCAATTTTTGTGGTCATGGAATTTACAAGCCATGGACCATGTGATCTTCAATTTTCCATGACCAGTGTATGTTTAAGATTAGCAATTTCTGATGCAGTATTTCCTTTTGTGAGATGATCATCTTTTCTTTATCACAGTTGTACATGAAATGAGATATATAAAGGTCAAAGTCTTGTAAGCACCTCCATGTGCATGTTTCATAATGTCTAGTTGGAGCCAATAATTGGAGAGAGTGTTAAAGTACTAAGTAACATTCAACCCACCCTATCGTAGGTCATGTAACCTAGTTTCAATGTCAAACAACTCAGAGGTGGTCG